CCGCCGACTCGATAATTTAACACTGGCGCCATCTCGCGGCATTCTCCCATCTGAACTTCTTTACCACACAGCACACCATCAATAATTTCTCCTAATTATACAAAATAACCTATTAATGGGTATTAATTGAGATCAATTGTTTGTCTATCAGTATTTAAATAATTTTTTGATTATATTCCAATAATTTTTGGCCCATTTTTCGCCTTAAAATGACATCCATGCACATCCATGCTAGATCCATGCTGCATCCATGCTACAACATGGATGTACCATGGAACCTCAATCGCCAGGGTGGAGAATTAAATTCCCCCTCAATCGATCCCCGTTGCATCCCTTAATCTCTGTAACAAAAAAATAAAAACTACGGCAAAGTCATGGGCCAGTGAGGAAAATAATTTTCTTCTCGGCGCATGGTGACTTTTCACCATTCGCCCCCGAATTAAAAATTCACTTCTCCGCTCTTAATTGAGATTAAGGGATGAAAAAAGAGTAGTTCGATGGAGAATGAAATTCCCCACCAACTAACCCTCTTTTATCCCTTAATCTCTGTAAAAAATGGAAGAAACTGTCATGGAAATAACAGCGCAGTAAGAAAAATAATTGTTTTACGGCGCACAGTGCCTCCCGGTAATTAAAAATTTACCTCTCCCTTCCTAATTGAGATTAATAAGGGATGAAGAAAGGGCAGTTCGACAGAGAATTAAATTCACCATTAATTAACTTTCTTTCATCCCTTAATCTCTGTAACAAAAAAATACAAACTACGACAAAAGTCATGGGCCAGTGAGAAGCATGATTTTCTTCTCGGCGCACAGTGATTTTTCACCATTCGCCCGCGAATTAAAAATTTGTCTTCCCCCTCCTAATTGAAATTAAGGGATGAAAAAAAGGCTATTTGACGGAGAACTAAATTACCCATCAATGAACACTCTTTCATCCCTCAATCTCTGTAAAAAATGGAAGAAACTGTCAGGGAAATCACAGCGCAGTAAGAAAAATAATTGTTGTGCGGCGCACAGTGACTCCCGGTAATTAAAAATTCACCTCTCCCCTCCTAATTGAGATTAAGGGATGAAAAAAGAGCAGTTCGACGGAGAATTAAATTCTTCATTAATTAACCCTCTTTCATCCCTTAATCTCTGTAACAAAAAAATCCAAACTCCGACAAAAGTCATGGGCCAGTGAGAGACATGATTTTCTTCTCGGCGCACATTGACTTTTCACCATTCGCCCGCGAATTAAAAATTCATTTCTCCCCTCCTAAATGAGATTCAGGGATGAAAAAAGGGCACTTCGACGGAGAATTAAATTCTCCATTAATTAACCCTCTTTCATCCCTTAATCTTTATAACAAAAACATAAAAACTGCCTTGAAAGTCAGGGGCCAGTAAGAAAAATAATTGTTTTGCGGCGCACAGTGACTCCCGGTAATTAAAAATTCACCTCTCCCCTCCTAATTGAGATTAAGGGATGAAAAAAGAGCAGTTCGACGGAGAATTAAATTCCCCATCAATTAACCCTCTTTCATCCCTTAATCTCTGTAACAAAAAAATATAAACTGCCATGAAAGTCATGGGCCAGTGAGAAAAATAATAGTTTCGCGGCGCACAGTGACTCCCGGTAATTAAAAATTCACCTCTCCCGTCCTAATTGAGATAAAAGGATGAAAAAAGAGCAGTTCGACGGAGAATTAAATTCTTCATTAATTAACCCTCTTTCATCCCTTAATCTCTGTAACAAAAAAATCCAAACTCCGACAAAAGTCATGGGCCAGTGAGAGACATGATTTTCTTCTCGGCGCACATTGACTTTTCACCATTCGCCCGCGAATTAAAAATTCATTTCTCCCCTCCTAAATGAGATTCAGGGATGAAAAAAGGGCACTTCGACGGAGAATTAAATTCTCCATTAATTAACCCTCTTTCATCCCTTAATCTTTATAACAAAAACATAAAAACTGCCTTGAAAGTCAGGGGCCAGTAAGAAAAATAATTGTTTTGCGGCGCACAGTGACTCCCGGTAATTAAAAATTCACCTCTCCCCTCCTAATTGAGATAAAGGGATGAAAAAAGAGCAGTTTGACGGAGAATTGAATTCCCCACCAATTAACCCTCCTTCATCCCTTAATCTCTTTAAAAAATGGAAGAAACTATCAGGGAAATCGCAGCGCAGTAAGAAAAACAATTGTTTTGCGGCGCACAGTGACTCCCGGTAATTAAAAATTCACCTCTCTTCTCCTAATTGAGATTAAGAGATGAAAAAAGGGCAGTTCGACGGAGAATTAAATTCTCCATTAATTAACTGTCTTTCATCCCTCAATCTCTGTAACAAAAAAATTAAAACTCCCATGAAAGTCAGGGGCCAGTAAGAAAAATAATTTTATCGCGGCGCACACTGACTTTTCACCATTCGCCCGCGAATTAAAAATTCACTTCTCCCCTCCTAATTGAGATTAAGAAATGAAAGAGGGTTAATTGATGGGGAATTTAATTCTCCGTCGAACTGCCTTTTTTTCATCCCTTAATCTCAATTAGGATGGGAGAGGTGAATTTTTAATTACCGGGAGTCACTGTACGCCGCAAAACAATTATTTTTCTTACTGCGCTGTTATTTCCATGACAGTTTCTTCCATTTTTTACAGAGATTAAGGGATAAAAGAGGGTTAGTTGGTGGGGAATTTAATTCTCCATCGAACTACTCTTTTTTAATCTCTTAATCTCAATTAAGAGGGGAGAAGTGAATTTTTAATTCGCGGGCGTATGGTGAAAAGTCAGCGTGCGCCGAGAAGAAAATTATTTTTCTCACTGGCCCATGACTTTGCCGTAGTTTGTATTTTTTAGTTACAGAGATTAAGGCATGCAACGGGGATCGATTGAGGAGGAATTTAATTCTCCATTACACCATCTGTGTTTCATTCCTTAATATTAATTAACCAGAAAATGAATCACCTGAAAAACATTGAGAACATGTTGAGGACGAGGAGGGCATAAATTCCACTCCAAAACTATTCCTGTGACAGCGGGACTGCTACTGCCGAGTTACCCGCAGAGGCAGTTCGCCCAGCCGTCAGATTCGACCGTGGCGCCATCCCTCCGATGGGGTCGAACTATTTTTCGCTTGGGGTCACGGCAACCCCGAGATCTGAGCCTCTACTCTAATCAATCCTCTTTGGACTATACCGTCAGTACAGAATCATTGAACTGAATGCAATTATTAAATTAAATGGAAAGTGAAAAACAAAAAAACATTGGAGTGGAAATTCGTAATGAATTTATTGATAAAAAACCGTACCGTAAATTTTATTTATAAAAATCACGTTATTAACCATTCAATTAAGTTTAAACTATTCGTTGAGATTACTTATAGTTTCATTTTAAATATAAAGTTTAAACTACAAAATTAGTGATAGTAATTGTATCTAGCCAAAAATTATAATACCAAACTTATGTTCTCAGGAGTATATCCAAATGTATTCGTAGGTTAAGTTTTCTCTGTGTGGGACGAACTCTTAGAGGATGAGCCCAACTGTGAAGCCAATGAAGGATGGCATCATCGATGATGGTAATCACTTTTCATCGCAGTCATCGTCATTTTATAATTATTGTGTATTGATACCATGTCATTAAAAAATTGTACTTATCGATTCTGTCAGAGGTATCGCAATCTTTTGATAAAAAAACTTGGAGACATTCACGGATGTCAACATAATAAATACTGCCAAATGAATATTTGATCAATACAACTATTGAATAACTATACAGTGGATGTTGCGGAGAAGCCATAAAAGTAAAATATTGCATTTGAGATTATTCAATTTGCATTATTATTTTTTTGTAGTGAGGAAGAATTATTATTCATGTTCATCTCCCAAGTAATAATTTCTAGTTTCTATCAATATTTTGATATTTTATGTGTTTTTTAGATGATGAATTCGTGTGGCAAGACTATCTGGATGCTACTGAGACAACAGAAGTTCCGCAGATCAATTTTCCTCACGTTGAATTGACTCTGCAGAATGGAATTGAGATTGGAATGTCTTTGGAGGTTCCAACTTCTAAGGGCGATAAGCGGAATGCTTCTTATTGGATAGCAACGATTGTGATGGCCTGTGGACCTCTTTTAAGGCTTAGGTACTTTGGTGGTGATGACAGATCATTGGAGTTTTGGTTTAACTTAACGAAAGAGGCTGCCCACGAGTTGGGATGGTGTGTGAGAAACAATAAGATATTGGAGCCACCTGATGCTGTGATGCAGAGATCGCCAGATTGTTTGGAGATGTTGCCAGGATTTTTGCTGACTGCCAAGTCCGTTCCATATGAATTCCTAAGTGGAGTAAGTAAAAACAACTCAAAATTAAGCGAAATAAATTTCTGGGAGCGATGGAATATGACAGCGTGAAAAACATGGCTACAGAATAAAAATAAACCTATCTTAAATATTCTGCTGAATATTTTTCTTCACCAATTATATCGCTGCTCATTAATATTCATATATTACTGTATTCGTATTTTCTCGTAGTTTTTAATAGAATCGTTAATTTCGTCGAAGAACAATTTAGATTTTCTAAGTATCGTTCAAATGATTGAGCATGATAAAACGGGAAAAATTCATGCCGCAATTTCAAATTATCAACTGATCATTGTGCATCAGGTCTGGGGTGTTAATGAACTTTTGATACATCTTTGTATCCGATAAGGAATTACTTCATCCAAATTTCGTTGCTCCAATCCAACTCCTTTAGTATTTTTCGTCACTGTGGCGAAGGAAATTTTTTAATACGACGTTCGTGAGCGACTTTTCAGCACGCGCAGCATGCGTGAAATGAGGCTGCAGGAGCTGAGTGACAAAAAGATTATACTTGGATGGAAATTTTTCTGACCTTCATGTGCTTAAAAAAACACAATTTTTTCGAAAACATTCCAAATAAAAAACAAGTATATTTTTTGTCCGATATGATTTTTACGGTGAAATCCAGCTTTTCTCTCTCAAACGTGGAAAATTATTTTTATGATCTTCTTTTCTTAGTTTTTTCGTAATTTTTGCTTCCGAATGGAAGCTTTGTAATCATTTATTTTTAAGACCTTCTCATATTGCTTGGAACTGATGTAGAATGTGATATGATGTTTTTAGGAAATGTGTGTTATGTCAGTATGTGTGTGGGTATTTTTCGGAATTTTTGAACAAATCTTCACGAAAAAAGGAGTGAAGTCGATGTTAAAAATCTGAAATTTTGTGCAATAATTGGAATTGTTTAGGAGCACAGCTGGGCGGAATTTCAACTCCATCGGTCAAGTAGTTTTTGAGATACAGCAATTTCTCGAAACTAGCGCCGCCGCGGCCGCGACGTTCATGCCCTTTCATTATTCTGTTTCTCATTTTTTCCTTGTGTTTCTTACAAAAATTAATGATTCATCATCGGCTTAGTAAACTGAGTGTTAAGATTAATAGACACAATGTTTATCGGTTCATCACCTGTTTAATTTCAATATTTCAATAAGTCATTCACTATTTCTGAATTTCTGTGCTCACTGAATGATGTTCTAACTATAATTATAATTAAAATACTATTCAGAGTGCGAAACAATTCTTAAAGTTCTCACAAACCAGAATTGGTTTGTGTTCACCACCCCTATCATTCTCGTTTACACCATTTCAAAATAATTTAATTATTTTTGCTGGAAAAATAATATGACCGATTCTGATGCTCATTCGCTAATTCGGAGTATTTTCTTCTCATTCACAATCTTTTACACAAATTTGTTCAACGATGCCATGAACTTGAAACTTTGGTGAAACATCTGAAATTTTTTCAAATTCTCTATGGAATCCTGAAATTCTTGTGAATTTTGCTTAGAAAACGTGGAAATTTAGGTGAAATTATGTTCTCAGATTTTTCAAATTATGTTCTTCTTTCCCATTTGAATCAATCAGAGTAGAGTAGTTGGGGTCACGTGGCTCCTTCACATCAGTTTTCTTTGGTAGATTCCGCGTTTTCCTACCAATTGTTCTCCTATGGTTTATTCAAAAACTCTAATATTTGAGAGATACTGAAAATTTGTTCTAATTTTCGAAAAATTCGTGGATTTTTTTGATTTTGTTCAAGAAAATCTCATAATTGTTTTAAATTCTGTGGAAGCTCGAATCATTTTACATTCCGACAATTTTCTGATTTTTGAGGGAACTTGTAAACCTCCTGAAGGTTCCTATAGTTCTTGTTATTATTATTATTATTAATTTATTAATTTGTTTAGACTATACATGTCTTGTACAAATGAGGGTTCAGGCCGACATTGTAAATATATGTCACATTTTGTTCGTTTTTATCATTCCGCGTTAGTGAGAGACGACTCAATTTGCAGGAAAAAGACTTGACAAAGTAATTTGACTGAAGTTGAAGATATAGGGTAGTTTAAGTGTCTGACTTCAAGCCCTAATATCCATACTACTTCTATTATTTTACCTTATTTTAGTTAACCTATTATTTATATTTCAATTCCTCATAATTGATCACTTGAAGTTATGTCTGACTTATCAATATTTCCGAATTTTGCTTGCTTTACGTAGGAATGTATAGTGCGATAATGTGTGATCTAGATGTGGCGTTCAGTAATGTGAGATTGGAGTCCACCGTGCCATTGAAATACGGGACTATCGTGCACAAAGCTCTCCTCTCGTTATTTAGCTCAGCACATTCGTTCAGAAAATGAAAGAACATGTCATTTACGGGTTGCGCGCATTTCTGGCAGATGGACTCCAGTCCCAGCTGTATTTCTATTTCTTTCCCTCGTATGGAACAGGCTCTTCCGTTCGGTAACATTCTACATTGAATTATTGCATTTATGATATGTGTTGGAAGTTGGAGTTTCAGGTAAGGTTGAAGACCTTCCTTAATGTCCAGATACGGATAAATCCGAAGGGAAGAGCGTGCCAGTCTCCGTTTTAGTTCAATATTCGCAGCAGTCTTGATACTTTACACAAATATCAGAGAGATACATATTGAAGTTATCAGTATTTATCAAGTCTTTTAACGAGTACTCAGAGCAGCTACTAATTTTACTTGACAATTGTTTGCACCAGTTATATTTATCAGGAATATTGGGATTGTTCGATGTTTGTAAGAGTTGATCGAAACACATTTTAGGGTATCTAGAATCATCCATTTTGAGGATTTTTCCTAACCAGTTTAACGTTCTTTTCATCATATCGTGGGTAAGAGGAATTGCGCCGACCTCGAGTCTCAGAGCGTAATTCGCAGTGCTTCGCGGTAAATTAAACAATTTTTTATAGAAAAATGATTGAATTTTGTCTATTTCCTCAAAGTATCTCAATCCCCATACTTCTACTCCGTAAAACATGATACGTGTTGCTAGAGACTTGAAGATATATTTTTTAGGCCACCAGGTGTCCGAACGAGTTTGATGTAATATATTAAGTACAACGCGGATCGCACTTTGAGTCGGGGTCTTCGCTTTCAATAATTGGGGTTCAAATAGACTTGACGTTGTGAAGATGCAGCCTAAGTAACAGTAGTGTTTCACAATTTCAATAGGTTCGTTTCTGTACTTCACAACAGAATACTTCTGCGCTCGACCCCTGTGCATGATAAGAATTTTGGATTTGCTCGTGTTTACCTGCAGATGGCAGCGCTTGAAATAATCCGAGAGGATATCAACTTTCCTCTGCATATCAAATTTATTTTCGGCGAGGACAACAAGGTCATCCGCATATGCAATGCAAATGACCTCGTGTCGGTGACCCACAGATAAACCCCGAGCACCCCTTTCAACTAGAAATTTTTCTAAATTACAGAAAAAAAGGGAGAAGAGAAGGGGGCTCAAAATCTCTCCTTACAAAACTCCCTCAGTTATGTCCACCGGATCTGAGCAGCCGTACTGAGTCCTAACTGATAATCGTGCATTATCGTATAAACTTCTAACCGTGTTGTTCAATTTAGAATTCATGCCGAGAGAGAATAGCTTCTGCCATAACAAATGATGATTTATTTTGTAAAAAGCTTTAGTGAAATCAATGGAAAAGGCAAAAACTTTCATCCCCGGTTGAGATAAATGTATTTGTGCAATCGAGGAACGACTTTAAATGTTATCTATACAACCTCTACTCCGTCGAAAACCCGATTGAAATTCCTGTAGGATCTTATTAACTGCTGCCCAATCATACAACCGCGAGTTTAAAATTTGTGTGAAAATCTTTGCGGTGCTGTTCACCAGCGAAATACAGCGGTAGTTTTGAGGATCCTCCATACATCCTTTTTTATGTAACATAGTTGCAAGCAATATTGACCAGTTTTCCGGTACTTTCTCTTGATCATATATTTTATTGAATAGTACTTCTAAAAATAATATCAAGTTACTAGGAAGATGCTTTAGAAAGTAATTCTCTACGTTATCCGGGCCTGGAGTTTTACCACCTTTGCACTTATTCAGACTGGCTAGAATTTCACTATTCTCTATGGGCTTATCTAGCAATGGATTTTCGTTTCGACTGAGAAAGAGACGAAGGGAGTGATGCTCACGCTGAGGGTATTGATTTCTGAGGGAGTTCTGCCATTTTTCAGGACGAATTCGATCCACTTTTACAGATTGGGGACGAAACCTGTTTGCAGTCTTCCAGAATGATCTTAGGTCACTGCAGTCGCTAAACAATTGTGTAATTTTTAACCGGTATCGTTCTTCTTCTTCACTTTTAATTTTTCTATAGTCGGATTTGGCTTTTACTAAATTGTCTATATCTTCTACATTACGAAACAGATTTTTTTTACATTTTCTTGTACATTTCCTGACTAGCTTTTTCTGTTTTTCACAATGAAAATTGTACCATGGTTTTTTGAACGAAGATTTTTTCCCGGAGCTTCTCGAGATCCTCCCTGCCTCTCCAGCGCATCTGTGGATTGCATTTATCAGACTACTATTCATTGTATTGACGCAATCCCCGACTGTTCCTACTTCTGGTGCATACATCATTTTCATTTGATATTCAGTTAGGGATTGGTAGTTCCATTTTAATCTTACCAAATCATGGCTGGAGATACTGACATGGTCATCGTGAATCGTTATGTTTGTTTCAATGAGTATTGGCATGTGATCGGAGTTTGAAGGTAGGTCGAGCACCGGAAAATTTTCAACCAGAGGTAGGGAAAACCAATTCCCGATTCCGAAATCAATTATACTATGTGATTTGTTACGACCAAAGAAAGTGATTTGACCCGGGGTATCATCTGGATACCGTCCATTCAGAATAATTAATCCCTGATCCGTCAAAAAATCCCTGAGATTGTCCCCACGTTCGTTTGAATCGGGTAGCAACATGTTTCTCGTGCTTTCAAGATTATCACATTCGACCACTAAGCAATCTTCAGCCGGTGTGCTTCGACCTACCTG